CGTTGGGCCGATGAGGATGAGCCCCCGCCAGCGAATCCACCGGCTATGGTGTTGATGACCGGCCTAGGTTGCGCTGAAGGCTCTTCCTCTCGCCTATCTCTCGACCGACTACGTTCCCTGTATGAGTGCGTTCCTATTCTCCTCTACTCGGGCTGATCATGCTGCCGAGACCGGTCGGCGTGTCGGGATGAGGTCGGACGGTCTATGAAGCCTTGCAGTTGCCCCTGCTTGATTAAGTCTTCAATTTTGTCTTTCAAAGCCGCGCATTCCTCTGTGGAATGCCCCCGATTACAGTGGTACCTGCAAGACTTTGTTGTATTAGCCCTGGGAGGGGTCGAAGCTCGTTTTGGGACTGCTAGCACCTCTGAGGCAAGTGCTTGCTCTAGGACGGCCAATCTGCTTGTATTAAGTGGCGTGTATTGTGAGTATCTCGCCCCGCGACCAGGCTTCTCGCGAGGGATCAGCTCTTTCGGACGACTCCGGAAATTAGTCTCGGCCGGCTTGTCAAGTTTTGCCGACACCTCCGCCCGGGCTTGGTTTCGGAACTCAGCCAATTCTTCCATTTGCATGTACTTGTCAGCTCGCCGTCGCAAATCATCCATGTTAGAAGGGGGTTTCTTACAAATGTTGTTGGCGAAAGGCCCTGGTTTCAAGGCGGTGGTAAGGTTGTGCAGAGCTACAGCAGGGTTCAGGTCTCAGATTTCAAGCGCCGCCTTGTTGAATCGGCTCATGAATACCCGAAGGGACTCCTTTTTCTCCTGACGGATGCTAACTAGTGCCAAAGAGGTCAACTGGTGAGGCCGGCTTGTAGCGAACTGAATGGTGAACTGGGAGGCTAATGTGTTGAACGAATCAACAGAATTAGCAGGTAGCCGAGTAAACCAACTCAGTGCTCGCCCTTTTAATGATGTTGGGAAGATTCGGCACAAGGCGGCGTCATCAGTAGTGCTTAGAGTAACTTGAGTTAAGAACACGTCGACGCGCTCATCTGGGTCGGTTGTACCGTCATGCTTGTCTAGAGGCGAGGACTTCCAATGGTCAAGAAGTGCAGACTGCATGATGTTTAGGGTAAAGGGATGTCGGTGTGCTCCGGCCGGCGTCGGTTGTATCGACCGGCTGACCGAAGCATGGACGGCTGGGGTAGCAACAGAAGTATGTGGGATAGAGGTGTGATGGCCGTGCGAGTGGAACGACCCCTGGGTTGTCTCAGAGGGTTTCCATGTGGGATCCCGGTACTGGTTCTTGAGGGCAGCATTCTCTGCTTGCAACGCGGCCATCTCGGTGGCATCTCTTTCCCGCTGCTGTTTCATGGCGGCCATTTCTTCCTTCATTTGGTGTACCATATCAGTCAAGTTTGTCTCCTCTACTGTCTCGGCATTGTCCGCCCCGGACTAGTGCTCATCTTCAGACTGGTGGTCTTCAACGTTGTTTCTTCTTGTCTTTGCCATAATGTCTTCAAAAAGTCTTCACAGCTATCGGTTCGGCCCCACGGTGGGCGCCAAAATGTACCTGCCTGAGGGTACACTCGTAATCATCTTAATGAGAAGGGCCGAACGGATGCTTCAAACGGACTCTTCAGAGGGGGGAGGTACCTGCAAAAGGCACTCTGACGCTCAAGTTAGGACAAGCACGATATTCTAGGGTAATTAATGAACAGTGACGTACCTCGTTACGTGTGACCTATTTATAATACCTGACATGGGCCTGAACGTGGTGGGCCTATTCTAATCTTTACCAAATTAGGTAATACGATGCTAATCAGCTAACCATGTCTTAATTATGCACTTATCCTTGTTAATTGTGATTTGTACTATAACCCGTTTAACCTATCGGCACATTGCCGAGCCGACAGGCTAATGCTTGGAGGGTTGCATGTCTTCGGTTGTTGACCGGGCCGGTAGACGTTTACTTGGTAATCCTATCGAATCGGCATTGAGCCGAGCCGATACATAGTATACGGGAATGCATCATGCTGCTTGCATCGGCCTTCAGCCGAGCCGCCATGTGCCAGTTGACTAATCTCGGCCTTCGGCTATAAGTCGAGCCGATGCTAACGTCAGCCTTGGGTATGGTCCAGTTCGCATGGGTGTCTGACGGAACGGCATGTGTTGGTCAACGTGACCGATAGGGTCCTCCCGGTACAATAAATTTTGTTGTAGTGTTTTTTCCGTTTATTTTCTTTACATTTTTCTGGCTATAACTAAAAAAATTTACTTCAATGACACTCGAGATTACATATCAGGATGTGACAAGGCCTAATGAGGGAATGGAACTCTCGTGTGTGGTTCGAATAAAATATCAAATGGAAACAGACTGTCCTAAGAGGTGAGCAACAAAGAGGATACGAACTAGAAACAATCGAGGGGATTTCAAAAGAAGTTCGAGAAATCAAAAAGCATTTATTAGGAATCGAGACCAAGCGGTTAGAAGCAGTTCTAGGAAGTTGTCTAGTGACCGCTCCGACACCTACTCGAAGCAATAGTAGAACATGAGAATAAAGATTATTGAAAGTTAAGAATGGTTGAAAGAGGTTATACCAACCACGTATTTAAAATAACCTACGTCAAGCATAGATTTGATTAACCGCCCATGGTAAAACCTCTATAAATAGATGAAGCGGCCTCACTTAGAGGGGTCAGAAAATTATGCTTAAGAATTCTCACAAACACTCACTGCCTGCGCATATTGCTAAGTATGACTTCTTGGCCATCTTTTGCCTTTTATTTTCTTATAATAGTTCCATTTTAGAGTAGAATAGTTTAGTTTCATGGTTCATTTGTCTCTCAGAATCATTACATGTAAAAACTTATTTGCAGTCATGATTTCTGTTATTAATATATACGTGGTACATTTGATCTACTTGAATATTTGCATGCATGAAACTTACTTTATAGTAACTATTAACGAATATCTAGAAATTGATGCATGTTAAGTTAGTTGTAAGCTAATTGTTTTCATCCGTATTCTCACAAAAGTCTAATCATACTGTTGGGACTACTCAAAAGTTGTACAATTCGAAAGCTACACTTTTGAAGCTATTTGAAAGAAAGACAAACAAATCAGTACCTACCGGAAAGTATTATGAGCCTCATATGTGCACACTCGAGGACTGCTCGAATAGCTCGGGAAAAGTAGTAGTGGAAGGAGGTTAATGGAGGATTCTCGAGCGGTTGAGTAGTTACTCTAAGGAAGGTAGTTGGAGAACGAATCAAAGAAATAAAACACGTGGGACGAACGGTTACGAGAAGTTACGTCTTAAAGCCACGTAATAAGCATAGTGGATAGCGGTTATTCTCCAATAACGCACATGCACAAAATTAACAGCGCTGGTTTGGCTCTATAAATATGAGAAGCGTAGTGATTTACAGGGGTCAGAAATTTCATACTTGCACTTTGTAAGCACTCTCTGCCTGAGCATATAACTTCCGTGCACGTGATTGTTGGGTACTAATTTCTTGACCATATTTCTTTTCTTTTTTCTAGGATTAGTGTAGTTAGTTTCAATTCGTAGTTGGTTTTAATCCGATATTGTAAGTTGATCATTATGCGAAGTGGACTATGATTCGTATTGCTAATATATTTATTGTTCATTCCGTTCATTTGAGTATTTATATGCATGAACATTATTGCTTAGTAATCATTAATGAATATTTGGAAACAAGTAATTATTAGTCTTTCTACTCCGTTTCTTATTCTTCATAAAGTTCAAAAACATCAAATACCTAAATTGAAACGGCTTTCGTGCTAGTTCAAATAAAAAGAATCCATAAACCAATTCTACCACAAACACATACAACACATACGTACTTAAATTGAAAAGCTTTATTAGTTCGAGTAAAAAGAATTCATGCACAAAATTTCCCACAAAGACAAACATCTATATTATAGAATGGAGAGGCAAGGATATACTATGGAAGGGGACAATATAGTTAAATAACTTTTTATATGTTTATTAAATTTTGTTAATTGTTGTGAAGAATATTTACAATTATTTTGATATACATAGCACATAAAGCAGGGAATCAATTATTTAGAAAAAGAAACTTTAATTTTATTGAATACAAAATTAATGATAAATATTAAGGTTTTATATTTATAATCATGCATGTTGTATTTCAAATAAATTTTACATTCATAAGTTTATAAAATTAAAATATTTGTAGCAGCGTACTATTTCTTTTATCCCAAAATACGCAACATGTAATTGGATATCTTGAATATGTGATTTATTAGATATACCCTTTTAAATAGAACATTTTAAATTGTCTCGATTAAAATTACGTATTAATTACATATAGATAAAAACGAATATAGGTATATAAAAATATCAAATATAATATAGATCCGTTTACTTCGATACCAACTTAGTTATTTGTTTCTATATACATAAGAGTTAAATACATAATTTATTAGAATTAAAAAAATAATTAATATAATTAAAAATAATAACTTTATCTTATTTTTATATATTTTTTAAAATTATTTTTATACTATTTTTCTCTTTTAATTAATATTTTTTTCTTAATCAATTACAGTTCTTACATTATTTTCCTCTAACTTAATTTAGTGGATAAATTGAGAAACATACCAGTGCTTCCACCATAATTAACATCAACAACTGCCCAACCTCGACTAGTCCAATATTGAACACTCAAATCTAAAATTCCACGAGTTTCTTGAGTTGGTCCACCTGAAATGTCCAAATAAAATAATGCACGTAAAAGTGTATGTTGTATGAAGCTATTATAGTGAGTGAGCCTACACATGACTACTTTGACAAAAGTAATTAAGTGCAATGAAAGCAATAACAAGGTAATTTGTTACTTATCAAATCTCAATTGAAAATTGAATTCAATTGAGAAAGTTTAGTCAAGCTTCTTTTAAAACATATTGAAGTTTCAATTCATCTTCCATTTGTATAACCTTGATACCCCAATTTCCCAGAGTTCATCATGGCAATATCATCTCATATTATGAAGCATTGAAATTTCAGGAGTATGACATTTATTAGAAGATGAGTAATATATCACTGATATTACTTTATCACATATCCAGAAGACTAATGTTATAATTGTCACAATGAGAACCTAGAAACATTAATGTAAAAGCTGTCGAAATCATTGGTACTATCCTTCTGAAATGAGAAAAGAACGAGGAACGAAACATAAATAAACCCAAGTTAATATGTATTCAACAATGTAAAATCAAAATTGCTAGTCACTTTCATTTAAATGCTCTCATGAGTCATTTCCTTCATAATTTTTAAGAGTATTAGTATACAGTTAATTTTTTAAAGGCAATCCCATTTCAATTATCATGCAAGTAAATCATTAGATATTAAACAACATGTAAACTCTAGTTAGAGAGGGAAGACCCCACTCAGCAGGTCTTCCACATCTAATCGGCCAAATGAATTAAAATATGAAATAAATTGTGATTATTACAAATACAAGACCAAGATTTACCATGGCTCTTTAATAATAATGGAGGCTTTTCTTCTTCACTAGCTTGGAAATCCGGATTGTATGGTGGATAAAAGTACGCATAAGCATTTTGACCAGAAACTTCAGTTGGGAATTCAATCAAATCTGGCTTACTAATGTAGGAACTATACTTAAAACTATCTGGTGAGGATGACCAAATAATATTGAAGTCCACTGTTTTTGATTTATCATCATCAAAAGTCACCTAGAAAGCAAGAGAGTTGTCACCAAGTGCATTGAAGTAACTCGAAAATAAAATGATGGGTGAAAGAACAAAGTACCTTGGCCACTGACGATGGAAGAACCTCAGATGCTCCCTCAACGTATAAACAATCATTACCAGATGTCTACAATGGCAAGATTCAACAACTAAGATTATTAATGCATTTCAGGAACTGATTTAAAACCAAAATAGAAAAATAAGGAAACAATCTTGAAAATTACTATGTTATTTATATCTGTGCAAGGGATATCAATCACAGTTAGCTTTGAGCCCTTCACATCAATAATTCCTAGATATGACTTCCCTTGTTGCCTGCAACAATCAAAACCTTGAATTGAAAGTACCAAATTGGAAGCACACAAAAAATAGAGATTTGCTAGTAGTAGACTTAGAATCACCTGTAACTGCAAGCAATCAAGTTTCTCTGTTTAGTACTTTGAACAAATTCATATGAATTCATACCAAACTTCCACAGTGGCCTTGTAAACTCAGCTACCAAAGAATAAACAGACACAACCTTATTCTCGGACATATGTGATAAATAATACTCCTTAATAACAAACCAATTTTTTAAAAATGTTTAATTATAATATATATATATATATATATATATATATATATATTAATGATCACATATATAATATTATATATTAAAAAAATTAATTTTTGATAAAATAAAATTTGCAGGATGCATGTTTACCTTGTATTTTCTATTTATTGTATAAGTTGATTAAAAAAATCAAAATGATCAAGATTGTAAGGTTGTATACATTGATTAAAAAATAATCAAAATATAAAAGGTTGGAAAATTTGTGTTCTATTTAAAATTTTTATTATAACATATGTTTTAAAATAAATTATCTAAAAAATTATATTAAATATTAAAAACAAATTTTATATCATAAATAAATTAAACTTGATTTTTATACAATTTAACATATTTATTTTATATTTTTATTAATATTAAATTATTATAAAACAGATCTTTATTTAAATTAATATATTTTACTAAATTAAATGAACTTATTTAATTAAAAATATTTTAATCTAAAAATAATTAGTTTATAAAATAATATAAAGTAAATCTCATATATAACATTAAACAAGCAGGTATGTCTAATTATAAATAAATAGGAAGGATGGATGATGGAAAAAGTTAAATTAAAGCACTGATTGGTCTATAATGGAAGATCACCTAAAATTCTTAATATTGGTTTTGAGTTCCTTAAGGAAGAGTAATATGATTTGATAACTTCTATTATATAGTCTAAATACTCGAACACATTTAAACTCTCTTGTAAACACGAGAACCAAAAGATATTCAAAAGAAAAAGGCTAAAACTCTAATTTGATCCCTTATGATATTTGTTTGTTTTAATTTAGTTTTACTTTAATTTTTTGTTTCAATTTGGTCCCTAATAATTTAAATTAGTACAATGTTGGACTTCCATCCAAATTATTTAAACAGAGTTAACTGTTGGCCACGTGGATGCCACATGGATGTCACGTAAATGCATAGGTGAATGCCAAATTTCTTGAATACACCTGTAACCAGAACGACCCGTTCTGAAACCAGAACAAGCCGGCACTTTTGGTGTGTTAATTTTGCACCTAGAACGGGTCGTTCCAGATGCAAAATTAACACACCAATAGTGCAACCAGAACGGATCATTCTGGTTTCAAAACTGGTTGTTCTGGTTCTAGAATGTCAAACACAAACGGTCAATGATTTATAGTTCACGGTTGTGAATCATGCAAGGAAAAAGACCCAAGGTACAAAGCATTTCAAACACTAGATTTGGTAATATTGTTAATGGGGATTGATAACTTCAATTGTTAAACATTTGGGCTATATAGTGTATCATTAAGGATAATGCAGTGTATCACTAAGAATAATGGTAGCATGTTTTATTTCATTGTTAGTCAAACTGGAGTGAATCACTTACTACCAAATTGACACTATACAGTCAAGGATGAAACGACATGGTGTTTTCCCTTGAAGTCATTGACGATGTACCCTAACAACAACAACCTGTTCTTGAGGAGGTATAACCTGAAGTAAAGGAAGAGGATACACAGGACCAACATTTCATCACACAACCACATGTACAGGTAGATCATGCTGATATCCTATCAGTCATTCAGTGTTATATGGTGGATAAGATATATTATTGGCACCTTCAGCGTTATCCAGATGATTTCCCTTCTCAGTAATTTCTTTGAACTTTCTTAGTATATGTTATGGTCTGAATTTTTGTTTTCAGTCTCTGAACCATATTTCTGTCTTTGAATTTATGATATGAATTTTTATTTTTAATTTTTGAATCACATTGTGGCATTTTGTTCAACGTACATATTTGGTTGGCATTTTGGAATAGGCCGTTTTGAATCTAGAACAGCCCGTTCTAGTTTCAGAACGGTCTATTCTGCTGCACTCGTGGTGTGTTAATTTTGCATCTGGAATGGCCCGTTTCAGATGCAAAATTAACACACAACATGCGCAACCAGAACAGACCGTTCTGATTCAAGGTGTATTCAAGAAATTTGGCATTCACCTATGCATCTACGTGGCATCCACCTGGCATCCACGTGGCCAACAGTTAACTCTATTTAAATAATTTGGATGGAAGTCTGACATTGCAATAATTTAAATTATTAGGGACCAAATTGAAACCAAAAATTAAAGTGGGACTAAATTAAAACAAATAAATATTATAAGGGACCAAATTAGGTTTTTAGCCAAAAAAAAAATAGAGGGAAGAAATTGCCACAATCCATTCTCTCTTTATACAGAGAGAAAGAAAGAGAGTGAGCGAGAACATCGTATTAACCTTTGAAACCGTGTTTTGACCCGAAACCCTAACCAAAGTTAATGTGCGTCGATGGAGCTTTGTTCTCGTTGAGGACTTTCCAATCTCATAGTTTCTGGTAGACGTAATCTTTCTGATTTTCTCTTTTACTTTCTTTTTCACAATTTCAATACTTCTTTATTTTCTTTACTCTTTAGTTTGGACACAGGCCTTTTCATTAACCATTTTTTTTCTTAATTTCATTTTTCTTGTTTGTTACTTGAATTTGTTCCAGTTGTTTATACAAACATCTCCTCAAAGATGTAATAGTGCACACTTTCTCTTAACAAATTCAAACATTTTACACTTAAAAATTTATCTCTTAATTTACATATTTAGTGATTATTTAAAAAATTATTATAAATTTTATTAAAGTTAACTATATATATCTGAAAAAAAATAATTTTCATTATTATCACTAGAAGGAAAAAGGCATTCCGTGCCTGCAATGTATTAAAAGAAAAAAATAAATAAAAAAAATGAGAAGTTACTCATAAAAAAATGTAGTTATTGAAAAATAAACAAAGGATAAAATGGTCCATGTAAAAATTGAAACAAAAAATAGTTATTGAAAGTGATATCCCTTTTATATATTAGTATAGAAGTATAGATTCATTAGTTTCAAGTTCTTAAATTTGATTAAAAAATATTTTTTTCTAATAAAATAAAAAGGTATAATGATAAAAAAAGTAGAGACCGAGGTAGTTACCAAAAAGGGTATCCCCTTTATAGATTAGTATAGATTATAAAATTTTTAAAGTTATATATCAAATCAAAATAATATAAGTATAATAAAATCAAATATTAAGATATTATTTAATCGATATAATTAATATAACATATTTATAAATATTTAAATAAAATAATATTTTATATAATATTAAATATATATATATATATATATATATATATATTAAAGATAATATATAAGTATATATTAAAGTATTATTTAATTAATGTTATTAATATAATATTTTAAGATAATATATAAATAAGCGAGTATTTTATTATAAAATATTGTTTATTATATTTAATTAATGTAATGTTAAAA